TTTACCCTAAGAGCCTTAATAGACCAAGGCTCTCAAAAATCATTCGTGTCAGAAAAGACGTCTGCAACTTCCTACCTATCGAGAAAATTTCTCAATCACCGGAATGGGCGGGACTATCGTTGAAAATGCCAACCGAGTTTGCCAACTTACCCTATTCTTCAAACGTTGCAACATTAGCATAAACACTAAGGCCATTGTCCTTCAAAAACTCATCAGCTTTCTCCCATCAGGACCTAGATCTTGCGGATCCCTATTTCTATACCCCCGGTCCAATTAACCTAGTCATAGGTAGTGACCTGATACCACAAATCCTCCTTCAAGGAGTCAAGCACCAAATTTTTGTAAGTCTCCTAGCTCAAAATACCATTTTTGGTTGGTATTTAAGTGGGCCGTTGAAATCAATTGAGTGCACAAGTTTTCACACTCATGTTGTTGAAGACTCAAGCGAAAATCTCAACACTCAACTTAAACTTTTCTGGGAAACCGAAGAAATCACTGAACCCCGTCCACCTTCCGATGCTGATGCATTTTGCGAAAAATTTTGTCAAGACACCACCTATCGGCAAAGTGATGGACGATATGTAGTCAGATTGCCATTTAAATCCGAGTTTCCTTCTAACCTCACTCTCGGTCCATCTCGTTCGCAAGCAATGAAGCAAGCGATTCGAATGGAACACACGCTTAATAAAAACCCCGATCTCAAAGAAGAATATAATCGAGTATTAGAAGAGTATCTGTCCCTAGATCATATGAAATCAATCACTCCCTATGAAATCCATGAAGATGGCAAATGCTTCTCATATTATCTCCCTCATCATTCAGTCGTTAAACCCGATAGTCCACCAAAGTTCGTGTGGTATTTAACGCCTCTAAACCTTCAGCGTCAGGAACTTCCCTTAATGACATTCTCCACATCGGCCCCACCTTACAATCTGATCTCATGTTTGTCATTTTGAATTGGCGATTGTACAAAAATGTCTTCAACGGGGACATACAAAAGATGTACCGCCAAATCCTTCTACACGAAGATGATCAACAGTACCAACGAATTCTCTTTCATAGGGAAAACGATACTAAACTCACGGACTTTGCCCTTAAAACCGTCA